CCAAATTCTAAAACTGCATCTGAAAACTTATCAAACTATGCCTTCAGTGACTGCTTCAAACCATACAAAGATTTCTTTAACCGACACACACTCTTACCATACTCCCCCTGAGCAGTAAACCCAGGTAACTGCTCCATGTATACCTCTTCAACAAAAGTCACCATGTAGGAAAACATTCTTGACGTCTAACTGAAACAAGGGTCAATCAAGATTAGCAGCCAAATAAATCAAGATACGACTAGAGAAAATTTTGGCAACAGGAGAGAAAGTCTCCTCATAATCAACACCATAAATCTGAGTAAAGCCCTTTGCAACAAGCCGGGCTTTGAGACACTCCACAGAACCATCCGGATGAAATTTAACAGTATACACCCAACGACACCTAACAGTTCGTTTACCAGGAGGTAAAGGAACGAAATCTCAAGTCCCATTATGATGTAAGACATCCATCTCCTCCTCCATAGCTTTTCTCTAACCCAGATCAGATAATGCGTCCTATAAATACTTAGGAATAGAGATAGTAGATAATTGGAAAGTAAAACAAGAGAAGATAGGAGACAAGGCATCATATGAAACAAAATGAGCAATGAGATGATTAGTAACACACGAACGAGTACCTTTTTGAAGAGCAATAGGTAAAGAGTCTAAATTACCTGATGTACCAGGATCAGAAGGCGGCAAGGAAGACAGTACATGTACCTCAGTCGATATGCGAGGACGGCAAGAATAAACACGGAGAGGTAAAGTAGATGGTAACACAGTGGGTAGTGGAATATCTGAAGATAAGGAAAAAGATGGTGGTACAAGAGATGACCCAAAATCTAGATCCAAAGGCTGAGAAGGTGCTGAAAAATATGGAACAGATTCCTCAAACGTGACATCGACACTAGTAAAATATCGGCGCAAAGAAGGACTGTAACAACGATACCCCTTCTCCGTGCAGGAGTAACCAAGAAATACACATTTAGTAACTCGATGGTCAAATTTTTCAAACCCAAGACCCAAATTGTGAACATAACAAACACATCCAAAACCCTTAGGAGTCAGGAAAAATAAGGGCTTGCCAGAAAAAAAGACAGAGTATGGACTTTGCCCATTTAACACAGAGGATGACATACGATTAATAAAGTGACAAGTAGAAAGAACAGTATCACTCCAAAAATATCGAAAAATATTCATTTAGAATAACAGGGTACAGGTGACTTCCAGCAAATGACAGTTCTTGCGTTCAACAACACCATTCTGTGGAGAAGTGTAAGCACAAGAAGTCTGATGAATAATTTTATTTTTACTAAGATAAGCTGAAAAAGAATCAGATTCATATTCTCGAGCATTATCGGAACGTAAAGTACGTATACGACAACCATACTGAGTTTTTATTTCCTTACGAAAGATCTCAAATATAGAGAGTAATTCAGACCGAGCTTTCATCAAAAACAACCAAGTCACACGAGAATAGTCATCTACAAATGTCACAAAATAAGGATATTTATTAGATGAAATATTTTTTATTGGACCCTATACATCAGAATGTACTAACTCAAATGAACTAAACTCACAATTATTGACTCTATACTGAAATGACTCACGATGATGCTTACTAAGTTGACAAACTTCACAAGACAAAAACGACACATAACTAAGACTGGAAACTTGGCACTTCAAATTTTGGAGAGAGGGATGTTCAAGATGACAATGCCATAGAAAAAGAGACAACGAGATCTGTAGAGCCCGGGTAGGTGAATCAAAGTCAAGGACTCAAGGTAATATAGACCACCAGCTTCATGCCCCGTACCAATCTTCCTCTTCTTCTTGAGATCCTAAAAGACACAATAAGAGGGATAAAATGTTACAGAACAATTGAGGGAACGGGTAATCTTGCTAATGAAAAATAAATTAAAAGTAAACTGAGGAATAAATAACACAGAAGATAGGGGCATATCAAGACTCAAGTGAGTAGTCCCTAGACTTGAAACTTTAGAACAAGTATCATTAGTAAGAGTAACAATACGTGTGAAAGTAGCAGGCTGATAAGTAGAAAAAACATCAGACGCACCAGTCATGTGATCAGAAACGCTATAGTCTATGATCCATGGACTGCGAGTGGAGGACAATAAACAAGTGGAAACAGTACCTGACTGAACAAAAGTAGCAGCGGAAGGAGATGGGACAACTTGCTACTGGGACAAAAACTGAGCATACTCCCGTGTAAGAGTAACTGACACGGAATCAGGTGGAACAAACCGAGGTATAGAGGCAGGAGTCGAGGTGTCATCCTGATAAGAAATTTGATTAGCAACACCCGAAGGCTTGCCATGTAAATCCCAACAATAATCAACAGTGTGGCCTCCACGACCACAATGAAAACATGAACGAGACCCTGAACACCCTCCACGACTGCCAGTACAGCCTCCCCGACCTCCGCGACCACCACGGTTATCACAGCCACCTCGGGAACTATCACTATGGCCACTCGGGACAACAAGAGCTGAACGTTCAATAGGCACACCAGACTCCGTGTGGGATGACCCGGTAGAGAAAGTAGCACGCTGCAATCGAGAGAAAACCTTCAGTAGAGATAGAAGACTAGAGCCACCCAAAATCTGAGAACAAATAGACTTATATGCAGGTTTCAAACCAACTAAAAACCAGACAACATTCAAATCCTTATGTTACTTCTGTCAAACCGGGGCATCAGTTGTAAAGGGGTGATAGAGCTTCAACTCCTAACACACTCCCCGAACATGAGAGTAATAGTCCTCAAGACTCAGAGTACCCAGCTCCAGACGAAAATATTGTTTGCATACTTTATATGCAAGAGTTAAATTTCTAGTGCCAGAATACATGGTAGCCAAGTAATCCCAGATCTCTTTGACCGTGTCAAGATAAAGTAAAGTAAAACTGATACCAGGCTCAATACTATTCAATAGCAAAGAAATAATCTGAACATCTTCTTGCTGCCACTTATCATACCCAGGAGTATCGTCCTTAAGTTTAGTGTCCACTAAATATTTTTAAAAGTCTTTACCTCTAAGAAACACTAGAACAGATCGTGACGACAAAATATAATTGCTCCCATTGAGTTTAACAGATGTCATAGGATCATTAAGTAGAATCGTAGGAGAAAAATTCAGTGGCAAATCTTGACTATCACCATTTTGACTCTTGGGTTCCATAGTAGTATAGCAATAATAGAACCAAAGGGAAAAAAAAAAAAAAAGAAGGCAGGAAGAAGACTAGACAAACAGTGGACTAGTTGCCTGAACCAGGCCAAAAATAGTGGCTGAATACCTGAACCGGGTGTGAAACACCTGCTGGATAGATGAACCGGACCAAGAAAGGCTACTGACTGCCTGAACTGGGCCAAGAGCACCTGCTAAAAGGTTGAACCAGATAGGAAAACAGGAGCTGTACTGCTAAACCAGTGTGACCGGCCTGGAAGAACTGAACAATGCTGAACCGGAACTGAACAGGTGCTGAACCGGACCAGATTGAAGAGAACCAAGTCTCAACCAGACCAGATTGAGGAGAACCAGGTCTGAATCGGACCAGATTGGGTCTGAACCACTCTGCTGGATGAACCGGCCAAACTGGATTGGGCTGAACCGAATTGGGTTGGGCTTAAGAACAATCCAAACCCGCTTAGCCAGCCCGAACCAAACTGACCCGCTAAGAGTTGTCTTCTTCACTGATTAGGGTTTCAACCAAACCCTATTCCTTCACTGTTGACTATGCCAAGAGAACACCACCAAAGACGGCGCTAACCAAACGCCACCAGCATCTGCCACGAACCACCACGAGGCAAAAAATCAAACGCCACCAACGTCTTAGAAAAACCAGACGCCACCGGTCGACTGCACCAATGTCGATTGTACCACCACAAAACAAAACCCAGACACCACCAAGTCGACTGCACCAACGTCAACTACACCAACGTCGGTTGTCACCACCACGACAGCAACACTACACCGATGGGTCACAATAGTTTGGGTTAATATTTGTATTTAGAATAACCTTGTTCTGATATCATGTTAAGTTGAGAGAATTAACATAACACAATATTAGAGACAATATTACAGAGAAAGAGAGGTTAAAAACTTAACCTAACTCTCATACATCACTTGTATTTATAGTTAACTCATAATAATAAGAATTACACATACACCCTCTTACTATTAACAATTTACACATACTATCCTAATATTCTTAACACTGCTAAAAACAAAACATAAATTTTGCTAGCTGTGTCTCTCACCCTTCCAACAACAATAACATTTTCTACAAGCAAACTATGGCTAAGATGGGTAAGGGCAGCTACACATGCACCTCCTACCAAGGAAACCAGCAGCCTTTGCGGACAGGAAGGTTATTTTCAATTCGAAAATCTAAACTTATCCTTGTTTGACAGATGTGACTACCTGGAAAAAATCTACATGCAATGTTACGCCTAAAGGAATTGAAGTTTAACATTTTTTTTCGATAGTAGTACTTTCAGTAGACGAGATGAAATGACGAAACTTTAGCCCCAGAAATTAACAGTTGGGGAACCATTTCCATGCATTTCAATTTATCCTTTTATGTAAAACAAGCTTGGCACAACCTTTTTCAACAACTAGGGTAGTTGAAGAAGAAACCATTTTCCTCCAGAAATGACTGACAAAACAAAGCACACAGTAGTTTTTTATAAAATAAGTTCACATTGGGAGAAGTTTTAACAAGAAATGGATAAGTCTTGACAGTGACAATAATACACATCATTGTGTCATTGTGATAGGCAAGCCCTTCGACTGAAAACAATATGCAACAAATGAATCGTGACAAAAAAGGACCACTTTTTAAGCACCTTGAAACATGGATATTGCACCTTCAAACAAGTTCCTAAGAACATTGAGGGATAAATCTTTCAATGCATTTCAATATTCTGATTCTAGCTTGCTGTTATAATACACACATGGTCCTAAAGCCTGCACCATGGTCTAGACTTGTAGACAGAAGCATACCTATTGCACCGCACAATCCTCTTTAACAAGGAGAACAAAATCCAGGAATGAAAATAATTGATCCAATACTACCTTAACTTCCCTGAGCCATAGTTTCTTCAAATCCGGATCACCAAGGATAGTTGATACAATGTGTGCACCATGAAGAGGTGGATTACTGTACATGGGTCGAGCAAGCTGCTGCAGCTGACTTTTCACAGATACAGCTTGTTTATCATCTTCGCACACCACACTGCAACCAATAATAAAAGGCATCAGCAAAAGGAAGCATGAGTGTCCTCTGCTTCCTAAATTCATTGGAGTAAGAGGAAAGTTTGCGGACAAGCCACGTGTTTACTTTTCATGCGAGACGGTACACTAAAATTATTGACACTAACGATATGATGCCACTCCTAAAGACGTCAGACGCAGCAACAGAAGTACAAATTGCTACATTGTCATTTCTGCTAGGCATACTTTCAGGTACTTCATTTCTTCTATACAAAGAAACCCAAACACATTCCAAAAGTGCAAAGCCCAAGTATTTTTTTCTCTTACGGATATCCTAAATTGCAAGAATCTTCTACATTGGAGATGCTACCACTCTGGAATTGTGACAATGCACTTCCCAAGACTACAGTTCTTGTGTGATAAAACTGCAATCCAATCATGACGTAAGGATAAGACAACCTAGCCCTCACTAGGATTTATTGCAAGTTATCAGAGTGTAGTTAAAAAACTTCTATCTTCAAATATTATAATAAGAAAAGAATGGCCATCAAGATGGAGGACACAAGTCTCTTAAGACTAATCTGGAAAGCTTCTTTAAGTGCATCTCCACTTCTCCTTAATTTCTTATTACTTGCTAACACACCCTTCACTAGGAAATGTAATAATACACACCCTACTTATCTGGACTTCATTACAGAATCACTTTTTTCTTCTGCTCTCTGTCATGGCTGCTGGCGCCCAGTGTCACTTCCCCCCCAATGTCACTCTTATTCCAGTAACTAAATCCATGAGTATGGGTATCCAATTATCAATTGACTATTCTTCAATAAGGAATCTTGTCAAAAATGGTAATGAACAATGAACAATGATCCAAGGCTGGCTTAGTTGTCAAAGGCTATGATATATGGCCTAGGTTGTTATGTGAGCTTTATCACCAATGGCATAGTGGTGCTCGTCACATCACTTTCATTATAAAGCAGGCTAGTTGCTATTGTTGAAAAGTATCAATTCATTTCTTGTATAGATCCCCAAAATTTAAAGTTATTATCTTGTTGCAAAATCCTGACATGCATCAGAAAGAGTGCGATACACAATTGCAGCAAATAAACAACAAATTCAATTGGAGGGAGTTTTGAAGCATGAATAACCAGACCTTCTTGGCCATTTCAGAATAGAAGAGAAGCCAAAAAAAAACCAACAATCACAAACGAAAACAGTATAGTATAGAAGAACTATCAAACACATATATAGGTTGGCACTGTAGTACTGCAACCATAAAATAGTGCCCTTATGTCCAGACTACCGCAGAAATATAAAGAGAAAATTTCCCTTCTAAAAATCCTTCTGCTGAGGAAAGCAAATTCTCTGGATTGCCTCTCTCCATACCGGCCAAAATTGAGTGGTTAACACTTGGTAGTGGGTACAGACTTGCCCCTAATTTAGGGCCAGATCCAAAAACCCATATCCGGTAAAGGCCAGACCACACCATACGCAGCTAAAGCGAAGTAGCGGCACATCAATTAACATAAAACAAAGTCGAAGTATAAAGAGAGAGAGAGAGAGTGTGTGTGTGTGTGTGGGAGAGAAGAGAGAGAGATCATGCAGCTTGAATCATCTTGGTCAAATAAAACTGGAGTAAGAAACAATCTAGCTTAAGATGAAAGTGTTTATTCACACCGTCACCTGAGGCAGCCGACTCTCTGGCCATAGAGTCCCATATTTTTTTGCATAGGATTGGGCACATCCAATTAGATGACCATCCTCAAGAAAAATCCTGATAGACTTCGCATCCCTCTCCGGATCACCACTCGCAAAACCTTGATATGCCATGTCAAAGAAGGCAAAATGCCCTTTGACCTGAGAATGCAGACTTTATTTTTAATAGTATGTATAAAGAGGAGCAAGACAATAATAAGACTTGAGTAATGAGATGTCAACCTTGAACTGATATGAGATCTCTCTCCATTGTTCCTCTGAAGGATCCACTCCAGTAGGATTGTGAGCACAAGCATGAAGCAGAAAGAATGACCCATTTGGCGCATTCTATGCAAAAAAACTATGTAATAAAGGCAGGGGGAGAGAACAGTAACTGTAGCAAGGAAAACAGAAAGCAACACATTTTGGCGAGTGTGCTTTGCATACCTTTGTATCATCCATCAATGAAGGAAAATCCAACCCTCTTGACTCTGGGATGATAATAATGGAATGTCTTTTGAGGGACTTGTGCATCTCTCCAGATGTTATGATGACTGTTGAAATCTAAAGTTAGAAACCCAAAAATAATGCCAAAATAGAATAAAAAATTTTCTAGCTGAACAAGCATGAACAAATACAAGAGGAAAATCGTGTGATGATGAGTCAAACAAAGATCTACAAGCAATACTCACTTGGCCCACGTAGGGACTGGAATGTAGATTTGGGAATCAGGGCAAAAACCTCTTTTGGAAAGTCCGCAAAGAGTCGGCATGCACCAGTTCCGGAGAGAGCTTGCACTGCTGCAATCCGCTTTGTCTTTGATCAAGTTAGAATCCTCCCCATAGGCTAGTTTTAGTGTTTCCTCAACCATTTTTGCATTCCTCCCATGGGAAGATACTCCCTAGAAATTTAGGATGACTTCATTGAGTTGAATTCAGTTGAATCCCCATTTTGAAACAAAGACCGAACTAGAAAATGTAAACGAATTGAAAGGACATGGAATATCAAGATTAATGTGTGCTGCCTTTACTGTTAACCAATAAGAAAATTACTAACTGAAGCTAAATTTTGAGAATTAGAAAAATAAAAAATAAAAAGTGTAATTCAGAAAAAGTCTGTTGAAGTGCTCTCATTTTCCTAACACAAAGAAAGCCTTGAAACACAGTAATCTTGTGCATTGAGAAATATACAAATATGCATGAAAAATGAGATACGAATCTTTTAGACAAAAGTTAGCTAAAGCACCTTAAAGCCCAAAGAAATCCATTTTCTATTATAATGTCCATAAGAAAATCTTATGCCAATGGAACTCGATATAAGATAGCTTGCACTCTTCCTGGAGAATATATTGTACACCTTGAGAACTCCTCGGGAATTTACTCTCAATATGTATAGATGCATATAATCCTCAATTCATTAGGTACTCCACAATAAATTTAAAATATCATACATTTATCATCTGAAGGAGGAGGGGAGAACATTACAGGAACTCTATTCCCAGTTCACAAAAAAAAAAAAAAAAAAAAGGAACTCTATTCCAAAGGAATTATAAATTTTTCTTATAAACAATTTCAAGTGACAAAATTTTCCGGTACATCCTGTTTCTGCTAAAAGTACTTGCAGGATGATTTTCCATTTCTTAGTCCATATGTCTCCTATGGGTTGGATATATGTTTTGCTTGATGCAGTGGTAAAAGTGAAAATGTGGGTCGAATTTGAAGCCAACCAATTTCACAAATACTGCAAAACTCAAATGAAACTAGGTAGCACCCTATTTTACTTGGAAACCAGGAGAAATTTTATCATGAATCTTCACCACCTTCAGGGTAACTATAAATATTGAAAAAACCCATAATCAAAATAATTTAAGGCATATCCTATTCACCATAAATAAACGATTTAAAATCTAGGGTTCATTATAAAATGTCCC